AGCGGAAGGTGATAACAATCATAAACCCCAGTCTTTAACTCGCCTCGATCGTCTTCACAGAATATCTATATACCACACATCCTCCATTAAGAACATGGGCCTTGTTTAACAAATCATTCCTCATGCTACAACTACTATCAGTCATGGGAGTTACGACTGTTATAGCACTATGATTGATATATGTTTGTTTGTTTTATCCCACGCTCAGCAATATTCCAGCTATATGACAGCGGCATGTAAATAATCAAGTCTGGACCAGACAATCCTGTGATCGATATTTGGCAATGATCCACGCTGTCGGTGTTCGTCGACATGTCACCAAGCCTGACCACCTGACCACCTGACCACCTGCTTCTCTAGACCCACACAGATTGCTGGGGTCCAATTCCCTGGCCAATATTAAGGTCGGGTCTAGGGGAAGGGGTTTGAGTGAGTGAGTAAGTTTTAATGCCGCTTTTAGCAATATTCCAGCAATATCACGGCGGGGGACACCAGAAATGGGCTTCACTCATTGTACCCATGTCGGGAAACAAACCCAGGTCATCGGCGTAACGAGCGAACGCTTTAACCACTAGGCTACCAGACCACCCCTGGAAGGGGTTTGAAATAAAGACCAGGGTTCCGTTTTACAAAGCTATTGTATTACTACGACTATTGTAACTCTTATACACTAACATGGACTTACATCTGTCGCAGTGTTATGATTGCTTTGTGAAACGGGACCCAGGGCTAATCCACAAAGGGATCTTGGTGCTAATTTGATCACAACTCCCATACTTTAACATAGAATTACAACAGTCATACTAAATTCACTCAGTGGAATAGACCTGGGTCAGTTACATGCAATGATTTCTCCCCATGACATCTAAGCTCACTTAACAAAGTCATGCGATATTGTTTCTTGAAAGAAAAATAGGCCAGCCCCAATTAGGGCTAGTTCTGAATATAAGGACCTTGTCTCTTAATGGAGTAACTCTGGTACACTGTACCCCTGATGCAGTACCATGTCTTTACTAAGTGTGTTAAAGTACTTCCCCAATCTCCCACCCTTGCCACATCGGTACATCACATTTGATAAATGGAGACTTCAATAACACAATTAAAATAAGAAATTCAAAAATAATTTAAAATGTTTTGTTTGATTGAATATGAAGTATGTATATTGTATATATTTTTTATGTATAACCATATTCTTGTTTTAGAGTCGAGATTCTTTGGTTATTTTCTAAAGAAAATGTCATTTGATATTGGGGAGGGGTAAAATATTTCCTCCAGAGGTGTTCAAAACAATCCTGATCCTCCTGAAAATGTTCTTTTTTCATGGCTGTCACTATGACAAAAAAGAAATTCAACATTACAACAAAGTATGAAAACAATTGAAAGTTGTATTATTTTTCTTTACCATGACCTGTTTTAATGATAGACTCATCTTTTGATAGAGATACAGAGGCATTTCATTCTGTTGCACAACTCTGAGATCTTGAGAAAAATATCTAAATGGAGAATTTCACCCAAGTGTCTTTAGACATTAGTGAGTGGGAATCAAACCCGGGTCTTTGGCATGACGAGCGAACGCTTTAACCACCAGGTTACCCGACCGCCCCCTTTAGACATTAACTATATTAACATGTTGATAAAACTTTGAAACTCCAAGGTTTGTTGAGAAGTTTATAACTTTTATCGACGGGTGATGATATATCTTATGTCAAAAGAGTGAGAGTGAGTTGGGTTGAATGCTGCTTTTAACAGTATTACAGCGTGTCAGCTTAATGTGGGAGGAAAGCCCAAAGTGATGCTGGTCTCATGAGCACGGTCTCATGAGCACGGGTATGGTGCTGACAAACCTAGAAACATACTCGGGGCGAACCTTGATTCAAACCCACAATCATAGGTTTCTGACACGCCCAAGGGACACAACTCTGCACAGCGAATCACAGCGACTTAGGCGACTGGGCCACACAAGGATGAGATTCTAATTATCATCCAAAATCATTCTTCCAACCTTTTAGTTTGTAAACTGTAATAACCAATGCCTTGAGTGCAATAACTACAGCTAACCAGCTTCAGTGGCAGAGAGATTAGTGATGTCATTAGATTGTGATGTCATGGTTACCAATGATGTCACAATGGTCAGCAAAGCACTGTGATTCATATTCTCTTAGGACATATTGCTTGATCTCACCCAAGCAATATCTCTTGTGGAAGCCAGTTTTGGATGATAAAGATATTAACTCAAAATGAAGCTGAAAATGAGTCTTCTTATCATAAAGAATATTTGTAAGAACATATCCTATCAGTCACATTCAGTTTCCTCTCAAAATACCCCCATCAAATGTTGAAGCGTTTATTTCCCTATCAGAAGTTAACACAAGTTCAGTTTACAGCTGTAAGGCAAAGATAACTTAACTACATAAGGAAGAGCCATTGCTTGCTTAATCAAGGAAGTACTAAGATACTGCTTAAAGGTCTAAGAGTATTACATATTTTATATACTGACATCCGTACAACATTCCTTTCTTGAAAACTTTTCTTATCCAGTAACAAATATCATTAATGAACGCATACAGTGTAAAATAGCACCATTTGTGCAAGAACATTAAACACTATGAACCCACAACATAGAAACTAATACAGAGACGTTATCAATGTGAAAGACGATTAAACTTGAAGAGCCAACCAATTCAAAGAATGATTTCTATTGAACAGTAACTATACATTCTTGAAAACAATATTATACTCATGAAAACACTGGCACGAAACATTCAGTGAGTGAGTGAGTAGGTTGGGTTTAATGCTGCTATGAACAGTATTTCAGTTATATCACAGCATGTGGCTTACCGTATTTGACGTAATAAACGCCCAGGGCATGTGGCTTAATTTGGGAGTAAAGCCCAAGTGACGCAAGATGAGGATGTGTCCTGTTATTGAAATCCACAGGGATGGTGCAGACAGACCTGAGATAACAGTTTGGACAAATCTGGGACCACCAATCAGTAGATCCTGACATGGAGAAGGGACACAACTCTGCACACAAAGTTTGCACCTTACACCAACTGTTCCCGATGACAACATGACATTGGGTCATTTGCACCTTTTTCCATATTCCTTGATCAATTTTTCAATATAACCTGAAATTTTACAGTCTACATTATGACGCAAAAGACTAGGGAAAGATCAGTAACATGGGACATCTATGATATTGTAATCTCCATGCAATCGTGTTTCATTTCCAGAGACCACATTTGATTTGTTTCTTTGTTGTTTAACGCCGCACTCAGCAATATTTCAGCTATATGATGGCGTTCTGTAAACAATCGAGTCTCGACCAGACAATCCAGTGATTGATATCATGAGCATCAATCCACGCAATTGGGATACGATGACATGCATCAACCAAGTCAGCGAGCCTGACCATCCGATCCTGTTAGTCGCCTCTTACGACAAGCATAGTCGCCTCTTAAGACAAGCACAGTCGCCTTTTACGGCCACTTTTACCCCAGACAAACAAATAAACTGGCCCATTGGCACCTTTCTTGATGTTCCTTTAATTTGTGTGAATTCAACATTAGCAATTTTGATTAAAGTAACATCTTTTTGGGAATAAACTGTAGATGTAATTCATTAAATAATTCAATGTATGCTAACCATTGTCATACCTGTGTTTATTAATTACAAGCGTGAAGCTTAAAGTGATGCAGGTCATGGATATATATATATATAAATACTACAGGACAAAAGGGACTCAAATCCATGATCACCAAATCCTGGCATGGATAAGGGACAAAACTCTTATGGCCACCAAGTAAAACACTTAAGTGCTATGATTGATATTTGATATGCATATTCAGATAATAAACAGACATCGTTTCCTTGAACTAAACTGTTTGGGTTTTTGTTGTTGTTAGAAACAGATTTGTATATATATTGTTCACCATTTCTTACAAACAGCTGTGATAAAATTTCATTTCACAGAATTGAAAACAGAGTCAACCAAAATCTTTTTGGTCGTCATTTTATTTTTTCACAAATTTCAGGGTTTATTTGTCGGTCAGTCTTGTATACCAACTAAGGCCTTATAAATGCAGCTTCTCCTTGAAGTGTTCTCTTGAAAGAAACATATGTCTGGAGAGATAAAGACAAAACAGAAAGATACTAAAATCATTTCGCAATGATAAGTAATATTGTTACTTTTCTACTGGCCTACTTTCTGATTACTGATTACTGATTACTGATAGTACCGGTATTTAACAGGCTCAAAAATTTAATTTATTCCTCATTTGTGAAATCTTGGTTGTCAGTTGACCTGTAGATCATATACATAAAAAACCCACCTGACTATAACAAGTCTGAATTCCTATAAAACAGTTCTATGACAAAAGTTCACTATCAACCATTAAGTGAATCAAAAAGATGCTTTGTGCTGTAACATCAAAGTCAACATCAACATATACAGGTCAATATATTAGGAGATATTTATTAAATAACAAAAAATACATTTTGTAAACAATTATAACAACGGTTTGGGACATTAATAACAAGAAATCTGCTCGCCTGCCGAGCTGATCATTCTATGGCTAAGCCATGCCCTTGTTATACAAACATGATTATACACGGTACTGAACATACGAAACACTTCACGAATGTGATCTTGAAACTAACATACACCATGATTATCATTCTGTAAAGAAATAACGATATTATCCATCAAACTTAAAATAGCATTTAATCAAAACCTATAGATTGTTAAAATATAGCCCAAATACTATACATCTACTTAATGAATATATTATGTTACCGTATTCGACATAATAAGCGCCCAGGGCACTCTGAAAATTAGAAATAGGGGGCTCTTATTAGAATATTATGTAGGTGAAAAAAACAGAGTTGAAAGATAAATTTCGTGGTTCATAGTGACAGCCTGAAATGTTTATGTACGACAGATATATTTTTCCAGAATTTAATTGCCCATAATTAAGGGCGCATATAACACACGAGTGTGTATTATACGCGAATAGATAAGTCTTGTGTACATTGATCAATCGGAAGGGGTGCTAATTGGGATTGTTCACAAGCCAATATATCAGCAAATATCGCCGTCGGCGCTTATTACGTCGAATACGGTAATCAAAACTTATAGATTGTTAAAATATAGCCCAAATACTACACATCTACTTAATGAATATATTATTATATGTTATTATCAATGTCCAAGTAAATACAGCTAAATGATCTGGAAATAATCTAGGAAGAAAGTTCTCTGAAGTCCACATGTAAATATGAACTTTTTTCCCTTCTCATGCCAGCTCGAATAAACAGATCTACGGTATTCGCTGTATTATTCAATCCCTGACAATCTGTAAGTAATCTTTAAGTAATCCTGTGTATGGTTCTAATAAGCACCCCCTTATAAATTTTCTATGCGTGCTTGTTACAGGGAATATGGTAATTCTAATGGTTCACCCTGGTATCGGAACATTACAATACTTTGATGCAAAATGATACAAGCTTACACAACGACGTAATATGGTATGGAAATGAACTGTTTTCTGACGGTATGAACTGTTTTCTGACGGTATGAACTGTTTTCTGACAGTATGAACTGTTTTCTGATGGTATGAACTGTGTTCTGACGGTATGAACTGTTTTCTGACGGTATGAACTGTTTTCTGGGAGTATGAACTGTTTTCTGACGGTATGAACTGTTTTCCGACAGAATGAGCTATAATCAAACCACTGTGGGTCTCCAGTATTGTGTTCTACAATGGAATATGCTCCACACCATGACAAGTATCAACTTATCCTGCATCACATTGTACACAGTATTGTGACCTTTCAACCACGACACCACTGTACCGAGGCCAAGTGACTCTCTAAGCCCTTCTCGCTAAGCCCTACTAGATACACTGTATGTCTCAGACCTGTTATTTCCACTGCGCTGAGTAACTTAGGCACCTTCGTCATATTCCCCCATATGAAATAAGTATCATACCGTGCACCATATTGCAACAAGCTGATCGAGAGTATGTGTAGGCATCTCGTTACTACAGATAACCCTTCTGTCCAAAACTCCAGCATGACTTGTAACTTCAGAAGATTCATCACTTTCGCTAATTTCTATACTCCATCAGAGGGTTGCTGAACGTCAGTAAGGAAACTTTGAACATGAACCTGGCGATTTTGATAGAGACAATGGCCTTTTCTTGATTTCATTAATTGTTTATTTTCCCCCCGTAATACCATATTCGACGTAATAAGCGCCCAGGGCGCTCTCAAAATTAGAAATAGGGGGCTCTTATTAGAATATTATTTTGGTGGAAAAAAACAGAATTGAAAGATAAATTTCGTGGTTTGTGCTGACAGCCTGAAGCATATAGCACTCGAGTGAGTATTATACGCGAATAAATAAGTCTTGGGTACATTGATCAATCGGAAGGGGTGCTAATTGGGATTGTTCACTGGCCAATATATTAGCAAATATCTCCATGGGCGCTTATTAGAGCGGGGTGCTTATTACGTCGCATACGGTAACCACTTTTGAAAGGACAGTAAGAAAGTTGTGGGAACAAATAAGTCAGCTATCTGTATGTTGTCCATCACTCACATAAATTAAACACTGACATATCGACAACACAATACATTGCTTGACATTGTGAGTAATGTGTAGATTCAGAAACATCCAATGCAATGCCGACTGTTACAAGAACCTGTGACGAGGCCTGTAGTCTACAAACATGTACACCTAATAAGTAAAATAAAAAGGCCTAAAATCCAAGAAAACACTATCATCTTCATATAGATATTCAGTAGATTGCTGGGGACCGATATTCAGTAGATTGCTGGGGACCAATATTCAGTAGATTGCTGGGGACCAGTATTCAGTAGATATACTGACATACTTGAATAGTACTTCAGTCATACCATGGTGCTTAATGATTCTGCAAGAGGCTAGCCCGAAGTGGGGCAGCTCATAGACATGTACCACTCTGGTGAACCATAGTGCACAGGTATGGTGCTGACCAACCAGTGATGGTAGGCATGGCAACTTTACTGTCTTCAACTGGCTGGGGACCAATTCTAATGTGGAATCTCTAGTGGGTGGTGAACAGTGGAGGACAGGGAGCCACATAAAGTGGATAACTGCAACATCACTTAATTATTATCCATTCTTTCTCGTGGACAGACCAATAATATTTATCGCTTGGATATTTTGTCTGTGCTTAAAAAAATACCACTTTTATCAAAGAAAGGATAAGCCAAACAATTAGTGGGATCTACAACACAATTGTCAGGGCAACCAGCATGTCAACTAAACAATTCCATTCCTTGGTAAACCAGAAGCAAAATTAATATTTTGATAATTTTCTTGTACAAATGTTTTTTTTAATTAAATTCCACGCACCCTTGGAATATCAGGTCCCTTTTTATAAACACATAAATTGTCTTAATATTTCATATATTTCTATTCTTACAAGTACTGAGACCAGGATGGGCATAGGGGGACGCTCATATTTCAGTACCTTGGTCAAAGGGAGCCCTATTCACACCCAATTACCTATCTTAGTTCTCGCCACCGCTAAGCAAAGATCTGAGGACATCCCATTAGGGGTCACGTCAGAACGACCTTTCATCCCACCAATCAGAGCGGCGCTTACCAGATCATGAAAGTGATAGTCAGAATGTGATTTCTAATCATGCAACCTCGAAAACATTAACAAGGGGTATACCGAACAATAGTAGGCTTAACGACTGAATCCATACAATCTAGGCCATCTATTAGCCATTCCAGAATGTTCTCTTGTTCAGGTGTCAAATTTTTAATCGGGAATTTGTCAAAATATGTTTTGCCAATTTGAAATTAGTGCCATAAAGCACGAGAAAGCTGCCTACTGATTGGCTATTTGTCGACTTCTTGTCAGTCATTCCATTGGTCGGTCAGAGTTCTCAGATCTTTGTTTAGCGGTAGCGAGAACTAAGATCTGTTTTTAATGAGATTGCACCAATTACAGAATTCCGGTTAAATCAGTTTTCTCATTCTTTTTTTCTTTTCATGACATTTGCATGTGATGTTAGTTACATGCCAATAATAATATAATACAATCCAAAATCTACTGCAAATAGACCTTGTAGCCAAAACACTTTAATTTTTTCAAAAGTAAGACACAAATACCCAGAAAAAAACACCGAAAAAGTGTTATACACGAAACATGTACCCAAATGGCAACAACAAATTTGGAATATTATCCATCGAGAACAGCAGCTGTGCAATCACCATGGCAACAAAACATCACCATTTGAAGGGATTTTCTATTTGAGCAATGATTCTTTGGCAACATTAACAAGTAACTGACCACTAACTGACAATCATGAGTTGACGTGATGTGATTGTGACATCAATGACATTTTTACGATATGACTTTTCTTTGAACACATGTGTATAACTATGAATTAAAATCACGACAAATCAATGAATAAACAATAAACAATTTCAAACACAATTGCAGGGAAACTATTTTGCACGCTAAGCTATTTCCCCAAAGAAAAATCAGATTTCCCTATTTCTAAGAGTTTCTAAATGAGAAATGAGAATAATAAATCGTTTTCTCTGTATAATAAATTGTCAATCATTGAGATGATATTCAATTAACAAGTCCCAATTCCCTAACAACCAACTATGATCTTTCTGCTTAAAATAAAGTGATTTTCATTTACAAATGATAATCAGTGATATGCACGATGCACTTCACACACAGCAAATAAAGTATCCAAACCATACATTTGTATCCAAATAAACAATTTTAATGAATGTTTAAGAATATGATAAAAAGCATTCTTAACATTCCTCTTACCATACACAACACATCACATCACATCACACGACAAAAACAACCACAGCCATTGTGCAAAATATCTGTACTCAACACAACAGAGCAATTGCTGATAAAAGCTGCCGACATGTCGTCAAGGAAACATGGCTCTTGTGAAAACACCTCATATACATAGAAAACACATGTGTGAGTATACAGGAGAACTGGACAAGCTTGTGGTGGCGGTGTGGAAATGTAGCCGTGCCATGTGTGGTGCAACTTCATAACAAGACTGTTTAAATGAACAGACAGTATTCTGAGGACATTGCAATTTTTTGAAAGGAGACGACAATAATCACAGATAAATGATGAGGATTTGAAAATAACCCAATTAAAAAGTGTCACCCTTTTCTTTGAAACATCATTTCTCTTCCTCTTCCAAGAGGACTGACCTAGAACAAGATCTAGGACAAGACTGACTGTGACCTAAACACTGGACGACACCTGGATCAAGGCAGGACATAGATCTAGGACATGCCTTCGGCCTAGGACAACACTTTGGATGATTTTGACCAAGGAGGGACCTACTTCGAGGACATGATCTTGACCAAGAAAAGATCTAGATCTAGGACATGCCCTGAACTTAGAACAACACTTTGGATGATTTTGACCAAGGAAGGACCTACTTCGAGGACATGACCTAGACCAAGGAAAGATCTAGATCAAGGAGATGCCCTCGACCTAGACCAAGACCCTGAAATAGAACAAGAGCAAGACCTAGACCACGGAAGGACCTACTTCTACCACATGTTCTAGACCTGGAACAAGACTTCAGACAAGATCTACACCACGCAAAGATCTAGATATTGGACATGCCCTAGACCAACAAGTCCAAACACAAGACCCTGATTTAGAACTAGCAACAAGAACTAGACCAAACCATGACATTACCTACAAGCCCTTGAACATTACCTAGGACAACACCTAGACCAAAGATTTTGACTCGAGAAGACTTCAATGAAGCAGTTTTCAAATAAATTCCAGAATTCTGAACATCTACCCATCCTTATTGAAATTGGGAAAACCTTCTTGAAACATTGATCAGATTTTATCAAAATAAATCATTTGAACCATTAATAAATAACATGGATGACTTAAAATATACATGAATAAATAACAGTAATAACAAAATGTAATGTATTTGGCTGTTTCATGAACAAACCATGATTGGCATTCTACCAAAATACCAATGTCCTTCATACAGCATAAATTCTACATCTACATCTTCTATATAAAATGTATCATCTGACATTCAAATATTTTTCACTCACCTGCCCACTTCACATATGAAACAACCCAGGTATTTATCTACGAAAGTTTCATCCCTGGCCTGGACTAACATGCATTCTCTTGATCCTCACACTCCATAAAAATGATACCACCTCCTTCATAAAGTCAGCCATACCGTACATTTCACTATAGGACAAACAGGGGATGAAATTCTCATAAATAATTAACCCAGGAAGGCTGTAACTGACTATTCAAGAATAACCTGACAAGTCATTCATCGGTTTTTTCTACCCTCATCTAAACCCACGATGTTCGTACGAGCCAACATGACTGGCGGCTACTGCCTTGAACAGCAGAGGGCAGCAATGATTCTTCTCGTGCCGAGTGATGAGAGACTGGGAGCAGTCCCGTGACAACATCCAACTCCCCTACACGTCTTGATTCTCATCAGTGACCAGCGACTACCCTGAAGTAGATGGAACAATGAACTAATGCACAGCAGTCACATTACACAGCTGATTCTGTGCGGCTAAAGCGCTTCTTCAGAGAGGGTGACTTTCCACTTTGTTTCTCTGTCGTTGGTGATGTTGTGGAGCCCTGGTCACCGGCTGCTGTGTCTGTGACGGTAATCTTGGTGGTGACGTTTTGGGTGAACTCCGAGCTGGTCAACAGGTCGGCCGTCGTTGTTCCATGGCAAGGGACAGAAATCGTACGCTTTGTCATTTTCCTATTTTCTTGAGGGCGCGGAAGTCGGAAGCAGCTTTTCCTCAGGAACATCCTGGCATTCCCAACTGCTGGCCTTGACCTTCCTGGTGACATCAGGTCCGTTAGATGAGCGGCATACCCATCTGATATGATCTGGCAACAACATATGGAGGTGTTACACATCAGGAAGATAAACAGATGCAACTTAAAAAAACTGAAGAATGGTAAGGCTATAATAGTTGGTTGGTTGGTTGGTTTGTTGTTTAATGCCGCACTCAGCAATATTCCAGCTATATGGCAGCAGTCTGTAAATAATCGAGTCTGGACCAGACAATCCAGTGATTGATATCATGAGCATCAATCCACGCAATTGGGATACGATGACATGCATCAACCAAGTCAGCGAGCCTGACCACCCGATCCTGTTAGTCGCCTCTTACGACAAGCATAGTCGCCTTTTACGGCAAGCATGGGTTGCTGAAGACCGATTCTGCCCCAGATCTTCACGGCTAAGGCTATAATAAATTAATTGCATCATCCACTATTTTTTCGAAAGTGGGGAGGGAGGCATTTTATTTTTTATGTTTTATTTTCTATTAAAGTCATCAAGTTGAAGACTGGACACCTTGGTATGAACAATAGATGACTGAAATAACAAAGATCATTTTAATAAACATTGGTTTCAACAGTAGCAGTCGGAAGTATCTGTATCAAACCATTTTCGTTTTCCCTGCCCCAACTCGTACTCGTGTGTTTATGAATTTATCGTCAACTGACGTTAACTTGTACCCCACAGGCAAACTTGCTGAAGAGTCATAGACTCTGGCAGAGGACAGGCATGCCAGCCTTAATGGTTACACAACTTCTTGTATTTTCAAAATAGCAAGCACCATCTTGACAGCTGGCAGCAAGCAGACGATGGGCAGGAAGGCACCAAGGAGTCGGTTGTAGACCAGTTTTCGGTACGTCGTAAACATGAAATGGTTGTTTGACAGCTGATGTTGTTACAGAGCTCTGAACATATCACTGGGGCAAATAAAATTAATTTGTCAGGGGGTTTAGTCGTGAGACGGACGGGGATGATTATCTAGCAATTAATTTATTATGGCATAACGGTTAACTTTCTAAATAGTAGTAAATGAAAAAAATCTCATAATGAGAAAATGCCTTTATCTGACAGATGAACTTTTCTGGAACACAATATTTTAATACATTTTTAGAGGTGGGGCCCCATATGGAAATTCAAACAATGTATTAATATCTGTACTGATGTTTATCTTGAGGTGAGGCGAGGTGAAATCGCATTCAAGATTTTTGGACTAACATAGCAAAGTGTCTGTGTCTCTCTGTGTGCATGCGTATGGCTTTGTGTCTTTGTGTCTTGTTTTATCATCTTATGTCGAGCGCCAGGCAGGGTAACAACAAGTACTATTTTTTAAATCACTATGGTATGATGCAGCTGGGGATCGACCCACAGACCTTCTGCTCTCCAGCCAGACACCCTATCCACTAGACTATGGAGACAGTCCCTGTGTACATTGACAGTCACTGAGACTGATGAAGCAACAATGTAGTGACACCAGCATCATCACCATCCCTGGCCTACCTGAGCTTGAGCATGTTGTTTCTTGGAGGCCTTTCCCACAATGAAGATCTGTGATACTCCCACACCCAGTTCCTTGTACAGGGAGATGTCCTTGCTGGAGCCATACGCTGACTTGTACACTATCTGGGCCTGGAACAATATGGATATCAACTATATAACAGTTTTTCAAGGAGATATCCTTGCTGGAGCCATACGCTGACTTGTACACTATCTGGGCCTGGAATAACAAGGATATCAACTATATAACAGTTGCACAGGGAGATATCCTTGCTGGAGCCATACGCTGACTTGTACACTATCTGGGCCTGGAACAATATGGATATCAACTATATAACAGTTGTACAGGGAGATGTCCTTGCTGGAGCCATACGCTGACTTGTACACTATCTGGGCCTGGAACAATATGGATATCAACTATATAACAGTTTTTCAAGGAGATATCCTTGCTGGAGCCATACGCTGACTTGTACACTATCTGGGCCTGGAATAACAAGGATATCAACTATATAACAGTTGCACAGGGAGATATCCTTGCTGGAGCCATACGCTGACTTGTACACTATCTGGGCCTAGAATAACAAGGATATCAACTATATAACAGTTGCACAGGGAGATATCCTTGCTGGAGCCATATGCTGACTTGTACACTATCTGGGCCTGGACAACATGGATATCAACTATATAATACATGTACAGGGAGATATCCTTGCTGGAGCCATACGCTGACTTGTACACTATCTGGGCCTGGAACAATATGGATATCAACTATATAACAGTTTTTCAAGGAGATATCCTTGCTGGAGCCATACGCTGACTTGTACACTATCTGGGCCTGGAATAACAAGGATATCAACTATATAACAGTTGCACAGGGAGATATCCTTGCTGGAGCCATACGCTGACTTGTACACTATCTGGGCCTGGAACAATATGGATATCAACTATATAACAGTTGTACAGGGAGATGTCCTTGCTGGAGCCATACGCTGACTTGTACACTATCTGGGCCTGGAACAATATGGATATCAACTATATAACAGTTTTTCAAGGAGATATCCTTGCTGGAGCCATACGCTGACTTGTACACTATCTGGGCCTAGAATAACAAGGATATCAACTATATAACAGTTGTACAGGGAGATATCCTTGCTGGAGCCATAAGCTGACTTGTACACTATCTGGGCCTAGAATAACAAGGATATCAACTATATAACAGTTGCACAGGGAGATATCCTTGCTGGAGCCATATGCTGACTTGTACACTATCTGGGCCTGGACAACATGGATATCAACTATATAATACATGTACAGGGAGATATCCTTGCTGGAGCCATACGCTGACTTGTACACTATCTGGGCCTAGAATAACAAGGATATCAACTATATAACAGTTGCACAGGGAGATATCCTTGCTGGAGCCATATGCTGACTTGTACACTATCTGGGCCTGGACAACATGGATATCAACTATATAACAGTTGTACAGGGAGATATCCTTGCTGGAGCCATACACTGACTTGTGTACTATCTGGGCCTTGCTAAGTCTGTGTTAAGGTATGGGAGTTACAATCACCTTGGTGCCAAGATCGCTTTATACAAAGGTACCCTAACAATATGGATATCAACAATTTACAGTTGTACAGTGACATTGTCACATTGAGGTAAATTACTGTATTTTCTTGAGTACAGTGCGCACTTGTTCTCCAAAAAACACAGCTGTGTAGAAGGGGTACCGCATTATACACGAAATAATAAGTTTTGATATTTTTTTCCCCATGGAAAGATATTACTGTGAGCACGTAACACCGGAAATACCATGTCAACAATCCAAACTGAAGTATGCAAATTAATCATGTAATTACACTGTCCGGTTATAAAAAGTGTTCTTTATATATCTGGACTATGTATGTAACTTATTTCATTAATTTTATTCAAAATTCCTTTTAATATTGTTTTAATTAATTTCGGCGAAATCGTGTGTGAAGTGATCAGAAGATCGCACAACTCACCGTTATTAACAGCAACCACGGTCAGATTACCGCTATTGACGCCTTGAAACGAACATTAGTTGACAGAGACATACAATGTATATCATAAATGCCATACTTTGACTTGTTAAAAGTCATATTTGTTATAGTTTGACGATTCTGTGTCAACACGTAGTTCTTGCGATCACGCGATCACGTGCACGGGAGCCTTGACGGTGACTGGTCAGACTGGTTCCATGTGAAAAATAAAAACCGGCAATAGCGATCAGCTGCTTTGCTTCGGGTTATTATTATTTAAAATATGTTTAGTAAAAGCTGCAACTAAATTAACAAGATATTGGGATATATTATTCCTGATAAAAAAAATAGTTTCAGATACAATTTTTACCGATCCTTGCATTAAAATCCTGTAAAGTTATATCATTGGGTCTGTCTTGACCGAATCACCGGTAGATTCCAAGAAAACGTGTGTACAGCTGATTGCTGTTTCCGGCTTAGTTTACGAGAAAATACACAAGGTAATCTTAATCCCTGGATGTAAAACAATGCCTAGCAGAAAAAAAAATACAATTTATATGGTAAATAAACATGTTTGGTGGTTTTTTTTCTCAAATTTCGAATTTGTACTGACCAAGTTTCTCATCACCCGTTCATTTACCGGAATTCGCTGAAGGGGTAGATCTACGGTGTAATTTTTTTCTGCGCTTGACATTCAATTTTTTTCTTTAAAAATACTGAAACCGCTAGAGGGGGGTGCGCATTATACATGGGTGCGCACTTTACTCAAGAAAATACGGTAATTAATCTTGTCTCATTAGCAGTATCACACTCATAAACTTTGCCACATTCCTGCCTTATATATTCTCAACAAGATCATCTCGAGAATTCACATGATGTGAATCTCAATTGCATTATATTTCGAAAGTATTGTTGTACTTTGTATTTTAAACTAACATGGCTTGAATTTAACAATATAACCAGTGAACAGTGAATTACCTCATTCTGCAAAGCTTTGAGATAATTGAGCTTCTGTCGAAGTGGGTCCTTGGAGAAGCCGTCCATGAATGCGACCATGCCGTGTGGAAAGTTGTGGTTGGCCAGCCAGGACACCACCTTCCTGTGCTGCATGTCCGGCCGCGCCGTCACGTACATGATCAGGTAGCCCAGCTCCTGCCAGTGTCTGAAACAACATCACCCTACAGTAAAACATTCTCCTAGGACAGTGTCATGGTCTAGTAAATATATCTGCCGTGCCGTCACGTACATGATCAGGTAGCCCAGCTCTGCCAGTGTCTGAAACAACATCACCCTACAGTAAAACATTCTCCTAGGACAGCGTCAAGGTCTAGTAAATATATCTGCCATCATATACATGATCAGGTAGCCCAGCTCCTGCCAGTGTCTGAAACAACATCACCCTACAGTAAAACATTCTCCTAGGACAGCGTCAAGGTCTAGTAAATATATCTGCCGTGCCGTCACGTACATGATCAGGTAGCCCAGCTCTGCCAGTGTCTGACACCACATCACCCTACAGTAAAACATTCTCCTAGGACAGTGTCATGATCATTGCCACTTGTATTTAGTCTCTGCCACGCTGACACATGCATGATCAGATAGCCCAGCTCCTCAATAATACATGGCTTACCAATCTCTAAGACAAGCGATTGTAAAAACAGTTGATGATCACTCGAAATTGTTGATTCCGAAAGCAGAATCATTCTACTCCTGGAATCAAGAGATTAGAGTGATTTCTCCATTACATGTTATTATGGGCATATAAATAGTTGACACTTGTAGCATACTTATGGAAGCTGATAAATGTGAAGGTTGTCACTGTAGAATGGGAGAACACTGCCATGGTGCTTGATGCAATGGTGGAGATTGTGGCATTGTGACCCTCTAGTACAGGGATATTTTATTACAGACATTTACTAGACCATTGCTAGTCAGGCCCTATTAACTCTCCTGAGTTGTATATCAAGTCACATGATAATTTAGATCTGGAAGCCGTTCAGCAGTCTTCAATGATGACCTTTAACTAAACCAGTGCAGACATATGTACCTGACAACATCAACCGCCCCTGCTCTGACTTTCGGGTCCTTGCCCATGATGCTGACACTGGCGGTGAAGGAACCATCGATGCTGAAGATGACAGTTTCTGTCTTCGGGGGAAGCACCGTCAGGTAAAAATCACATGATGTGTGGTCACCCCTGAAAAGTAAATAAATATTACTACACTGGGATTTGTAGGAATTAGATGCTGATAGATTGTAATTGGAGAGGCAGGGAAGGAGGTAAGGAGGGAGGTATGGATGGAAGAAGGGAGGGAGGGAGTGATGAAGTCAGGAAGGGATGAATGAAGGGAGAGAGGGAGGGGGACATAGGGAGGGAGGTATAGATGGATGGAAGAAGGGAGGGAGGGAGTGATGAAGTCAGGAAGGGATGAATGAAGGGAGAGAAGGAGGGAGGACGTAGGGAGGGAGGTATAGATGGATGGAAGGAGGGAGGGAGGGATGAAAGATGGGAGAGAGAAAGGGAGGATGGATGAAGGGAAGGATGGAGAAAGTAAGGGCGCCACCCACAAGGGCGTCCTTCAAATGTCACTTCCTCAGAACCCAAGCTGTTTAATCTTCTTATTCATCATGTCATGATTGCAACAGCCCAGGAGTTATCAAGAAGCTATGTAATTGTTATTCTTACTTGACAATCATCTTGACAGGGTACATCCCCTGACTGAGCCTCTTCTCTGTGGGTATCTCAAACACGAGTCGACCATGTCCATCCGTCACCTCAGTGCCGATAAACACCCAATCCCCAGATGGAGGCTGGGTCATTATGTAAACATCAACCTGTGACAAAATACATTGTAGATATACCCCTCAACAAAACACCCACACTGCACACTTGCTCCTTTTGTCCAAGGGGGTAAGAACTGCATGTGTTCAACGTAAATAACTGTAAAATTGCCACTAAACAATAAAAGGTCTTTTTCAGAAGGCACTGATTTCTATTGTCAGTTTATATAGTATCCACTGTGCTTTAACTGGCAACGAGGTATAGGATACGGAAGTTGAGTCACCTAAGACACAGCAGAAAGGAACATTTTACTATCTAAATCAACAATGTCTCATGGCTAGTCAATCTGTTGATGTGACTGACGATAAGCCATGAAATCCTTGTCTTTGAAAACAACAAATGTTATCACTAAAAGAAAAAATATTAGCACAAGTCACTTTAAGATCATATGTTCAACATTATCTGTAATATATCTGAACCATTAGTAACAAGTCCAAAAGAGAGCAGGGCTCAGTAATACCCCCGACCTCGACTCCAACATGCAAAAAGCAATACATGTATTTCCTCAGAAAATCCACTTATCGCAATCTAACTTTGCACTGTTATTGGTACAGAAACTAGCCCAGATGGAAAAGAATTCATGGGAAGTAGTTTTCAAGTCATAGGTCGCACAAATGTTGAAGTAAAAAGAAATTCTAAGTTCAAAACATGAAAAAAATCAAACTCAAACTTTGCACTGCTACTCTCCTTCAACGAGTGAGTTGCTGCCAACACCCACCTTCTCCCCTGTCAGCGAGGTGATGTCCAGAGAGCCATACATGAACTTCCCAGACAACACCTGGGTCTTGTCCTCCAACACAATCACATCATTCGCTCGGTGGTTGGGCTGTAGGTTCTGAAACAGTGTATCATGGATATAGATGCAGCTTTCTAAATTAAGGGGCGTCTTGGAATCCTTGAGCTTTTATGTTATAGAAGCAGTGTATGACTCTAGTCTCAAGCCTAGTCTAGTTAAATTCTGTTCAGTCTGTTCAGATGATGACACTAAAACACAGCCAAGTCAGTTAGTCTGTCCACTCCTAGTCTCACAACTGACATCATACAAAGTATGGGGGCACGGGTGGCCCAGTTGTCTAAGGCGCTGCGATTTGCTGTGCAGAGTTACGTTCCTTGGGAGCGCCAGAAACCTATGATCGTGGGTTCGAATCCCAGTTTGCTCCAATTATGTTTCTAGGTTTGTCAGCACCATACCTGTGCTCATGGGTTTCACCAAAGTAGAAAATGTCTATGACCTGAATCACTTTGGGTATTTCCTCCCACATTAAGATGACACGCTGTGATATGACTGGAACACTGTTCAAAGCGGTGTTAAACCTAAGTCACTTACTCACTCATATAAAGTACATGTATCCCACACAATCAGAGATATCAGAGAAATACGTTTCATTTAGTCTCGCTATGAGTATTCATTTGCTCAGCTAGAATACAATATTCATTCAAAAGGGACAGATAATTTGCAGTCCTTTGAAGCTCGTAGGTTATTCTCCAAATAAAGTCAAGTAAATAATGCCATTCACTGGAAGTAATACAAAATCAATGTCAAGTATAAGTTGTCTCCCCTTAGACCATACACTTCTCCCATACCATTATTACTGAACAGAAATAGCTGCAGTTGTCCCGGCCTTACCCTGACTTTGATGGTAGTTCTTCGCTTGAGCCACTTCTCACGAGGGTGAGCCAAGGTGAAGGTCGACACCGCTCCCCTGGCGGTGCGGTCAGTGTCGGCTACAGCATCATGTCGCAAAACCTGTGCAGGGATCAGTCTCATATCATTCATCACTTACAGCAAATGTTTTCACTGATCGATCACAATCAACAGACTTAGATTAAACCAGCAACAGAGGGCTAACCTTACTGTTACTAGCAGGGGTCCGGAAACCGTCATATGCACCGGACATGTCCGATTGGGAAACTCAAATGTCCGTTTTAAAATATTGCTTACCGGACATTTTCAAAAGTATTGTCCGGACATTCTTAAATTTTGACCGGACATGATCAACAGTTAGGACTGAGCAGTTTCTGTCTGCAGTTGCAACACAATGAAGATTAACTACACTAACAAGCTTTGTTTGTTTTGATTGCTGTAAATACATCGTACCTACATGATAGTCCAATCGGTCAATCACTGTAATAGGCAATAAACTGAGTTGACACTGATTAATCGAGGATTAATTAATGAGAACAACTTGTTAATTTGAGTGAAAGGTGTTTACAACTGTACATTAATACCTTGCATCATCAATGTACCTCATTATCCTCACAATGCTACGATACGTAACCTCAGACAAGAAGCGAAAGCGTGACGACAGCCAGTCGACCGATGCAGATCAGTCGAGCGGATCTGCCAAACCCTCAAAGTCTGGACGATCATTTTGTAAGTCGTGGCTAACAACTTTCACTTGGTTGACATACAATGAGGATTTGCAGATTTTATTGTTTTCAGTAGCTAGTCGTATATTGAATCTTGATTGACCGCCATTTTGCTTTCTCGGACGATCGATATCCAATTTTTTTATGGTCAATAAATAAGTACAGATGAAAAAAGTATCAAATAACTATTGCTTTCAACGATATTTTAGTATTTGTGATTAAATTATCTGTCTTGTTTTTAAAAAAATCTTTAGTTTAAAAAAAATAATTCCCGTGAGGTCACGTGATAACCAAATATGGGATAATAGTCTCGATCCAAATGTTACAACGCGTACACTTGAGCAGACTCATGAATATAACTCATGAATATTAATTAGACCGTTCACTACGTTACCAGATCGTTATTATAACAGAAACAAACGTATTTTTTCCATGTAAATCTAAAATGATATTATTTGTTATTAATTGTCCGGTGAATTAAACAATTTAAATTGAAACAATTCATAATTCATCATATTATGAATACGTAAACTTGTAATGTGTGTGAAAAGTCGTACTAAAATACGCTATTTGAAGGGGGCGTGGCCTAAATGCAAATGTCCGATTGGGATTTTAAATTTTCCGGACCCCTGGTTACTAGCCTCCATAGACTAGCCATTCTATCAGGACAAGAAGAACCAATTCTTGATCCTCCTAGCCTGAGTGAGTGAATATTGCCTTTAGAGCCCACTCAGCAATAACAGAGTGTGACCAGGGCTGACAGTGCATAATCTAGATCAAACAATCCGGTGCATGAAGAATAGCCCCAGTGAATTTGCTGGAGACAAATGGAAAAGGACATTAGTAAATTTTCAATAGTGCATTCTCCTATATGATAACAAAATAAAATATCATTAGGACAATTTGTAGGTGAGGTGAGGTGAAATAGGGTTTAACGTCGCGTCTAAGATTATTGCACTTATATAGAGACGTGCATGCATGTGTATGTATGTGTGTGGCTGCTTGTCCGGACTGATGTCGATTTATAGTGCTAGCTCACTGAGATACCATGCCGCAGTTTAACATGAATACCCCACTCAGACACAGTATACTGACTCCGAGCCGACCAGTCCTTGTTTTAGCCCCTTAATGCCGAGCGCCAGACAGGGTAACAACAAGTACCATCTTTTAATTTGACACCTTTTGGTATGACACGGCCGGGAATCGAACCCTGGACCTTCCACTCTCTGGGCAGACGCTCTACCACTAGACCACGGAGGCGGTTAGGACAATTTGTAAGACAACCAGGCAATGTCGTAGAAAATGAATCGTTCTGAAAGTCTGGGGCCTCCTGAGACGTGTAATGAATCTTTATGAAGCCAGTCTACTGTTATTTCTTGGTTTGAAGATTTAAATAGAAATCATACTTGTCGGATGGGGAAAAAAAGAAACATCATTGAAATTTCTATATTCTTCACAAAGTTTCCACACAAACATTTTGCTACTTGTGCAGTATTAGATAAGCTGGTTTAGTCGGTCTTGTATTGCAAAGAACGCAGAATCACTTTGTGGTGATATCGTAAGACTGCCTTCGTGAAACAATAGATTCAATCTTTCACCCTGTTTAGATGTGGGGGATCCGTAAACCAATAAAAGAGCATCACCTGATTTTCGGTCTTGAAGTGTAATGACCTGTGCAACCAGCTGACTAATGTAACTCCAAGCAGTGTTTGAAATAATTTTGTTCGCCGCACTCAGCAATATTACAGCTATATGACGGCGGTCTGTAAATAATCAAGTCTTGCCCAGACAATCCAGTGATTAATATCATGAGCATCGATCCACGTAATTGGGATCGATGACATGCATCAACCAAGTCAGCGAGCCTGACAACCCGATCCCGTTTGTCGCATTTTACGACAAGCATAGTCGCTTTTTACGGCAAGCATGGGTTGCTGAAGACCTATTCTACCCTGGAATCTTCACGGGTCTTGAAATAATTTTAAAACCCAACAAGACAGTCGGGCAGGTACCCATAAATGTTGCATGCCCATCTTCAAAGTAACCTGCTCGCATTCAGACAATACTGAATTTCAATGTATCCTTACCTACTGAATATGTTTTCTGATTATGTCTTAATATCAATCCCAATATACTAAAATTAAGACTAGATTGACCAATGAAAGCATAGTTACTTCCTTTCATCTACCATTAATAATGGATCGCCGACTACGGTATGAGAAAAATCCCGAAAAATAAGAGACAAATTGTGTCTTGATTCAGTTGAAATAATCCAAACAATTAATAAAGTATTGAGGGTTATGATACATAACTGAATGCGTACGAAGTCTTAAAATTATCTGCCAGACATCTGGGCAGGTGGAGGCAAATTTCATGCAGCCCGAAAGAAAAGTCACCATCCGCGGGCAGGTGGCCAGGCAGTTATTTCGGACCAAGTACCTGTCTGAGGATGAAGGCGACAACGTCTGTAGACTCCCAGAAGCTGGCGTGGAAGAGGTGAGGTAGGGCGTTGGTCGGGAACGAATGGAGAACCTCGGGGCAGTACAACACAAAGTCGATACGCTTCGTACCCCACCAGCGACTTGTCACTGAAAACACAAACAATTAGTGCACTCAAACACATCTGTGTTAATAAAATATTCATAGTTTTACAATCCTGCTGGTTCTAATACCATAAGAATTTCAAGTTTCGATCACATACTGCATTGTATTTTAGAGTCTTCAGGACACACCACAGTTACTAAAATGGGGCTGTATTCTCTCTGATGTCGGAACACACAATAAGTGAATAACAATAACTGAAATTGGTTATCTCCCCTACCCCCGTTGTGGCATCAGACACTTAGACTGGTGCTATATTCTCTCTGATGGTGGTACCTGCTAGACTGGTGCTATACTCTCTCTGATGGTGGTACCTGCTAGACTTGTGCTTTACTCTCTCTGATGGTGGTACCTGCTAGGTTGGTGCTATATTCTCTCTGATGTCGGTACCTGCTAGACTGGAGCTACACTCTCTCTGATGGTGGTACCTGCTAGGTTGGTGCTATACTCTCTCTGATGGTTGTAACTGGTAGACTGGTGCTATATTCTCTCTGATGTCAGTACCTGCTAGACTTGTGCTATACTCTCTCTGATGTCGGTTCCCGCTAGACTGCTGTTATAATCTCTCTGATGTCGGTACCTGCTAGACTTGTGCTATATTCTCTCTGATGTCGGTACCTGCTAGACTGGTGCTATATTCTCTCTGATGGTGGTACCTGCTAGACTGCTGTTATAATCTCTCTGATGTCAGTACCTGCTAGACTGGTGCTATATTCTCTCTGATGTCGGTACCTACTAGACTGGTGCTATATTCTCTCTGATGGTGGTACCTGCTAGACTGGTGCTATATTCTCTCTGATGTCGGTACCTGCTAGACTGGTGCTATACTTTCTCTGATGTCGGTACCTGCTAGACTTGTGTTATACTCTCTCTGATGGTGGTACCTGCTAGACTGGTGCTATACTCTCTCTGATGGTGGTACCTACTAGACTGGTGCTATATTCTCTCTGATGGTCGTACCTGCTAGACTGGTGCTATATTCTCTCTGATGTCGGTACCTGCTAGACTGGTGCTATACTCTCTCTGATGGTGGTACCTGCTAGACTGGTGTTGTATTCTCTCTGATGTCGGTACCTGCTAGACTGGTGCTATACTCTCTCTGATGGTGGTACCTGCTAGACTGGTGTTGTATTCTCTCTGATGTCGGTACCTGCTAGACTGGTGCTATACTCTCTCTGATGGTGGTACCTGCTAGACTGGTGTTGTATTCTCTCTGATGTCGGTACCTACTAGACTGGTGCTATATTCTCTCTGATGGTCGTACCTGCTAGACTGGTGCTATACTTTCTCTGATGGTCGTACCTGCTAGACTGGTGCTATATTCTCTCTGATGTCTGTACCTGCTAGACTGGTGCTATACTTTCTCGGATGTCGGTACCTGCTAGACTGGTGCTATACTCTCTCTGATGTCGGTACCTACTAGACTGGTGCTATACCTTGATGCCGGTACCTGCTAGACTTGTGCAATACTCTCTCTGATGGTGGTACCTGCTAGACTGGTGCTATACTCTCTCTGATGTCGGTACCTGCTAGACTGGTGCTATATTCTCTCTGATGTCGGTACCTGCTAGACTGGTGCTATACTCTCTCTGATGGTGGTACCTGCTAGACTGGTGCTATACTCTCTCTGATGGTGGTACCTGCTAGACTGGTGCTATACTCTCTCTGATGTCGGTACCTGCTAGACTGGTGCTATATTCTCTCTGATGTCGGTACCTGCTAGACTGGTGCTATACTCTCTCTGATGGTGGTACCTGCTAGACTGGTGCTATACTCTCTCTGATGGTGGTACCTGCTAGACTGGTGCTATACTCTCTCTGATGGTGGTACCTGCTAGACTGGTGCTATACTCTCTCTGATGTCGGTACCTGCTAGACTGGTGCTATATTCTCTCTGATGTCGGTACCTGCTAGACTGGTGCTATACTCTCTCTGATGTCGTACCTGCTAGACTGGTGCTATATTCTCTCTGATGTCGGTACCTGCTAGACTGGTGCTATACTCTCTCTGATGGTGGTACCTGCTAGACTGGTGCTATACTCTCTCTGATGGTGGTACCTGCTAGACTGGTGCTATACTCTCTCTGATGGTGGTACCTGCTAGACTGGTGCTATATTCTCTCTAATAGCCACCTACCATTAGTAATACTGGTGACCGCTGTCTCCCCCACGCCCGAGGTTGTACTGGAGACGCTGGAGGTACTTGATTGTCGCTGGAGGCTCGGGTGTCCAGGCGACACGGAATGTCGATGACCATCAGTGAACAAGCTGAGGTGGTTCTGTACTGTCTCAACTAAAAAGTGAAGAAATGTGAAGGATGTTAATTTTTGGGACAAAACATGTTTTTAGGAAGGATACATATTATATGGTTTAACTCTTAGGAAAAGTACTTATGTTTCTTCATGGTAATATACAATGTAAAAAGCAGAAGAGATACCTTCAGACCTAAGAATGTGATTAGACAGGATTGCCAGGTGATTGATAATTCTTGTCCTGCTGATTATTTTCCAAAAAATTACATCGCAGGACAACTTCTGAACCCTCTCCAAGTAAAAGGAGTGAGTGAGTGAGTTGGGTTTAACGCCGCTTTTAACAGTATTCCAATTATATCACGGCGTGTCAGCTTAATGTGGGAGGAAAGCCCGAAGTGATGCAGGTCTCAGACGATTACCACTTCGGTGAAACCCATGAGCACAGGTATGGTGCTGACAAACCAAGAAACATAATCGGGGCGAACCGGGATTTGAACCCACAATCATAGGTTTCTGATGTGCCCAAGGGACGCAACTCTGCACAGCGAATCGCAGTGCCTTAGACGACCGTGCCCCCCCAAGTAAAGGGAAGTCCATACACCAGGATCCACCTGCATATAATGACAAGTCATCTATATCCCCCGCCATTTTAACACGTTATGGTCCAAGCCAGGTAACTGACCCAACATTTCTCTTAGGCCATGTCAAAATAGCTGCAATGGAAATTCTAAAATAAACATTTATAAAACTCCTTAATATCAAATGGCACCAGTTCAGTATGTGCTTTATATGTAGACATGCAATGTTTGACAAGGAAATATTTAACAGTTGATTTGTTATACTCCATAAGTGAACCCACCCTATATTAAAACTTAAATCCAACTTATTGCAATGGAAACATAAAAAATAAAAATTTATAAAACTCCTAAATAGCAAAAGGCACCAGTTCAGTATGTGTCTGGTAAACATGCAAAGTTCTGTAAGAAATTATTTAACGTTTTTTGAGTTACGCTCTGGAAACGAGCAGCACCCTTATAGAACCAAAGTCCAACTTGTTGCCATGGAAACGTAAAAAATAAAAATTTATAAAATTCCTAAATAGCAAAAGGCACCAGTTCAGCATGAGTCTGATAGACATGCAAAGTTTCGTAGAGAAATATTTAACGAGTTATGCTCCGGAAACGATTTCGCGATGCACACACGCACGCACACACGCACACACACACGCACACACACACGGACGGAACCCATTTCTATATCCTCCGCCAACTTCGTTGGGGCGGGGATAACAAGGCAGCAACTCACCAACATGAATGGGCTCCCCATCGCCGAGCGGGAACTTGCTGAATCGTGAGATCTTGATAGGTGGTACATGTCGAAAGCCTCCCTGAACGAGTGGCTCGAGGCGGATGGCGATAGGGTCGTTGGAGTGGAAGAGGTTGTACACCTGGTGGCAGGATGGCTTCAGAGGGGGACCTGGAACGAGGGAGGCATGTTAACAGTGGTCCTGGAACGAGGAGCCATGTTAAGGGTGGTCCTGGAGTGAGGGAGAAGCGTTAAGGGTGGTCCTGGAGTGAGGGAGAAGTGTTAAGGGTGGTCCTGGAGTGAGGGAGAAGTGTTAAGGGTGGTCCTGGAGTGAGGGAGAAGTGTTAAGGGTGGTCCTGGAGGGAGGGAGAAGCATTAAGGGGGGTCCTGGAGGGAGGGAGAAGTGTTAAGGGTGGTCCTGGAGGGAGGGAGAAGTGTTAAGGGTGGTCCTGGAGGGAGGGAGAAGCGTTAAGGGGGGTCTTGGAGTGATTGAGAAGTGTTAAGGGTGGTCCTGGAGTGAGGGAGAAGCGTTTAGGGTGGTCCTTGAGGGAGGGAGAAGCGTTACGGGTGGTCCTGGAGTGAGGGGTGGAAGTGCTAAGGATGGTCCTGGAGGGAGGGAGAAGCGTTACGGGTGGTCCTGGAGTGAGGGGGGAAGTGCTAAGGGTGGTCCTGGAGGGAGGGAGCCGTATTAATGGTGGTCCTGGAGGGAGGGAGCAGAGTTAAGGGTGGTCCTGGAGGGAGGGAGCAGTGTTAAGGGTGGTCCTAGAGTGAAGGGGCAGTGTTAAGGGTGGTCCTTGAGGGAGGGAGAAGTGTTAAGGGTGGTCCTGGAGGGAGGGAGAAGTGTTAAGGGTGGTCCTGGAGGGAGGGAGAAGAGTTACAGGTGGTCCTGGAGTGAGGGGGGGAAGTGCTAAGGGTGGTCCTGGAGGGAGGGAGCCGTATTAATGGTGGTCCTGGAGGGAGGGAGCAGAGTTAAGGGTGGTCCTGGAGGGAGGGAGCAGTGTTAAGGGTGGTCCTAGAGTGAAGGGGCAGTGTTAAGGGTGGTCCTTGAGGGAGGGAGAAGTGTTAAGGGTGGTCCTGGAGGGAGGGAGAAGTGTTAAGGTTGGTCCTGGAGGGAGGGAGAAGCGTTACGGGTGGTCCTGGAGTGAGGGGTGGAAGTGCTAAGGGTGGTCCTGGAGGGAGGGAGAAGTGTTAAGGGTGGTCCTGGAGTGAGGGGGGGGGAGTGCTAAGGGTGGTCCTGGAGGGAGGGAGCCGTATTAATGGTGGTCCTGGAGGGAGGGAGCAGAGTTAAGGGTGGTCCTGGAGGGAGGGAGCAGTGTTAAGGGTGGTCCTAGAGTGAAGGGGCAGTGTTAAGGGTGGTCCTTGAGGGAGGGAGAAGTGTTAAGGGTGGTCCTGGAGGGAGGGAGAAGTGTTGTGGGTGGTCCTGGAGGGAGGGAGAAGTGTTGTGGGTGGTCCTGGAGAGGGAGAAATGTTAAGTGTTAAGGGTGGTCCTGGAGGGAGGGAGGGAGGGAGGGAGAAGTGTTAAGGGTGGTCCTGGAGGGAGAAGTGGTAAGGGTGGTCCTGGAGGGAGGGAGAAGTGTTGTGGGTGGTCCTGGAGGGAGGGAGAAGTGTTGTGGGTGGTCCTTGAGCGAGCGAGCAGTGTTAAGGGTGGTCCTGGAGGGAGGGGGAAGTGTTTAGGGTGGTCCTGGAGTGAGGGGGAAGTGTTAAGGGGAACCTGAGGTTTGTTCTTATTCTATTTGAATCTAGGCCTCCCTAAACCTTCAACTCTAAACATTAGAGATCCGTAATGACATATGACAAGGTCTCCTATATTTTCATGCTTAATTTTGAACACTGGTAACAAAAGAAAAGATTTAGAATATTACTTGACAAGAATGCTATAGCAGAAATGTTAAGGACATCTAGATCCCCTTAATTTAAAAAACTGAGCATGACAGCGGTTAGCTGTCAAAACAAAGTGATGGTTGAAAGATTTGAAGTAGACTTGTTATAGCTGCCAATTGGCCAAGCTAGAGCTTCTTTTACTATAATCCAATTTGTGTACAGTACTGGCTACTTACAGTTTTTGTCCTCTCCCGAGAATAACCTCCTGTATGCCAGAACAAGTCCGAGTGGAGACCCACACATGAAGAAATCTGACACATCAAACTCAAACTTCGTATAACTACTTTCAAAATGGCTGCCAGTACTAGTCCTTCGAGATGCAGCATTTTCACTTTGATTAACGCTTAAATGAGTCGAGTTTTGTCGTGAAGACCCCTGGCGGCGTAACTCCATAAAATCAGGGGGTACTACCTCACTTTTACTTCTCTTGTACCTATCCGTGTGATCAAGAAGATGAGTGGCATTAGCTTCAGGAGCAAGGTCAGGGTCACTCTGACTTAGCTGTTTCGTTTCCTGCAACGTTCTACGTCCAGTTTGTCGATGGTCACATGACTTAGAATCCCCCCCACCCTCCTCCTCCAGGCTGTTGTGACTGCCGTATCGACTTCCACCTCGCATGCTGTGTTGACTGGCGCGAGTCAGGGCATCGTAGGCCAACAGTGAACCTGTCGAGTCCGCCAATATACAAATCTGTTGAGACAAAAAAAGACCTTTCATTTGCTTTTAAAATAATATCTGTTAACATTTTAACAGCTTCTCAAAGTCCCTGTCATTATATATTTAATTAAATGAATTACAAAATGTTTGATGCTTCGCTAGTTATGCTGGTTAAGGCCATACTATATAAATCATAAGATTCTTTTCCTGCCTGCCTCACAACCAAACACCCTACCATCATCTTATTGTCCCCAAGTACCTTCATATGAAACAAATGTCTCTGTGAGTTCCCTGGTTTCCGTGCTGGAGGTATACCATGTAGGTACTTTCATGTTTTGTTTGTATGTTGTTGTTTAACGCCGCACTCAGCAATATTCCAGTTATATGACGGCGGTAGTTTCATGTTTCATGGGTGAGGTGAGGTGAAATGGGGTTCAAGATTATTGCACTTATATAGCGACGTGCATGCATGTTTTGTTTGGTTTGTTTGTTGTTTAACGCCGCACACAGCAATATTCCAGCTATTTGATGGCGGTCTGTAAATAATCGAGTCTGGACCAGACAATCCAGTGATTAATATCATGATCATTGATCCACGTAACTGGGATACGATGACATGCATCAACCAAGTCAGCGCGCTTGACCACCCGATCCCGTTAGTCGCCTTTTACGACAAGCATAGTCACCTTTTACGGCAAGTATGGGTTTTTGAAGACGTATTCTATCCCGGCGTCTTCACGGAAAACGTGCATGCATGTGTGTGTGGCTGGATGTACTTGTACTGATGTCGATTTGTTGTGCTAGCCCACTGAGATACCATGCTGCAGTTTAACATGAATACCCCACTCAGACACAGTATACTAACTCCGAGCTGACCAGTCCTTGTTTTAGCCCCTATTGCCGAGCGCCAGACAAGGTAACAACAAGTACCATCTTTTAATGTCTGCTGGTATGATGCTGCCGGGGATTGAACCCCGGATTTTCTGCTTTCTGGGCGGAGGCTCTACCACTGGACCCTGGAGGCTGTCATGTTTCATGGGAATCACATACGTCGACAGTTTGTGTACTAATAATAATAATTGATTTGTAAAGCGCCTAATATCCATCGACAGTTGCTCACTGGCGCTGTGACAAAGTTAAAAAGTAATGTCTATGTACATATGCCAACAATCAGGAGATATATTGAAAAGCTGAAGTGAAGTAGTGGGTTTTGAGGAGAGACTTAAACGTTTCCTTAGAAGCAGAGTTTCTCAGATTCAAAGGCAAAGAGTTCCATAACTGTGGACTGCAAAAGGAGAAGGCACGGTCAGACATAGCAGAAGTAGACAGAGGCTGATACAGTAGAGTTCCACCAGAGAATCGGAGAGCACGCTCTGGAGAGTACAGGGATATACGATCTTTGAGATAGTCTGGATAGTCGCTATTGTTGAGGCAGTCGTGAGTGATGATACATATCTTATAGTTTATACGAAAGGAGACTGGAAGCCAATGTAGTGCTTTGAGGACAGGACTGATATGATTGGATCTTGGAACTTTGGAGATGCATCTAGCTGCAGAGTTCTGAATGCGTTGTAGCTTTGATATGGCTTTCATGGGAAGATTAGCATACAATGCATTGCAGTAATCCAGTTTGGATGTCACAAGACATTGCATCAACAATTTAACTGTTGGAGTATCAAGTAGATGGCGGACTTTACTGATGTTATAGATGCTATGGTAGCATGCTCTGCTGGTTAGTGAGCCAATGAGAAATCATCATCACATTCCGGAAGTGTTGCTTTTGATCCTCTATGATCCTTTGATCAGTTTCTTTTACAAAGATAAAATGCCTAACATACATTTTAGATTTGGATGAAAACCTAATCAACAATTTATTGTGGCGTAAGTGAAGCATTTATGGTGAAGGTTTAACTGTTTGTGTGTGTGCATGTTTGTTGTTTAATGCTGTGTAGCAGAGCGTGGAGTCATCCCACAGATGACATCCTTAACATGCCAGCTTGCTGACGGGGTCAACCTACCTTAGTCATGTGGACAAGGTGTCGAATACCGTTAAGGGACTCAGACATTTTATGGCCGCTACAGCTGCACTCAGCAATATTTCACCTGCATGATGATGGCCTGTAATTGATCAAGTCTGGACCAGACCATCCAGTGACTGAACGATCCACACTGTTGGGTTATGACTGGAGGACACACCACTACCCAAGTCGCCAATCATGACCACTTTTACTACCGGCACAGGTTGTGAGGACCACTTCTAACCCAGAATCCCCATCAGGGTTATTTGTAACAACCAGTGACAAAGCCATGTGTTATTTTCTACAACGTTGCAGATATTGCATAACATACAGCATTAGAAATTGGCACTAGTGCTCCAGTCCTTGCCAAACTGCCCACTAGTTCAGGAAACCTAGAACTAGTAGAAATTTGATCTTTTTAGGGTTTTGCTAGATGTTATCATTATAAGGACTAGTGTGCTAAAACTGGGAGTTTCTATCGCTGACATACCTGCATGTGTCTGTGCTAATTAGGCCACTTACCTGGCCAGCAAAGCCCCTTCCTTCATCAGACGAGAGGAATTCCTGAAACACCTGGTTGGCCCTCACGACAGTGGTATTCACATGATCCTGGTACTCTGTACTTGATGATGCAAACAAAGCTATTGCCCCCAACGGCACAAAGTCTTGTGACCATGACAACGTGTTCTCACCAGAGTTCATAGCAGCCTGGCTCTCAAAATGGTATGGACTTAAGCTGCAAGTCAACGGACAATAATATTAACATCAACAGGCAGAAAACGTAAATGTTTAAATGTGGAATTTATGACATCACATAGAGTTTAGATGGGAAATACTACTCAACTGCCGAGTGAATTTGTTTATTGTTGCTTCAAGCAGTATTCCAGGTATATCACTGTGTGTCAGCTACATCAGTTATATCACAGCGAGCCAGCTTAATGTGGGAGGAAAGCCAGAAGTGATGCAGGTCTCATACGTTTACCACTTTGGTGAAAACCCACAGCACAGGTATGATGCTGACAAACCTAGAAAATAATTGGGGCGAGCTGGGATCGAACACACAATGATAGGTTTCTGGAATTTCGAAAAGACGCAATTCTGCACAGTGAATTGCGGCACCCGTTAGATGTCTCGACTTGACAGTGTATAGAAGAGAGTGACACTGGGAATTGAGGGGGGGGGGGGAGGGAGACACTGGCCACCTTATATCCCCCTCGCTAGATATCTCACCTTGACAGTATGGAGAGAGTGTCGCTGCAGACCTGCGGGCTGGGCACATGGCGGAATGCCAGCTGGCCAGATGCTGCATGGTAGTGGGACTGTATCACAGTCTCGAACGTCGACCGCAGCGTCAAGAAATCACTCCGTTTTGTGGGCTCCTTACCAGAGTCCAACACACTGCCTGTTGAGTTGAGAAGTGAAATGATTAAGAAACTGGTGTAAGAGTATACATCGAAACATCACTATATGCAATAAACCAGAAGATGTTTGCCATGAGGTTGTACGTTCTCTTACTTACTCACCAACTTCTAGAATACCAATTAAACAGTAAGTGAAATTACTGTACATACACCCAGTCAGGATGAAGTGAGGCAAGGAATGAACAGATTTTGTAAAGAGTGAGTGAGAATGATTTTGTTCCAGCATACTCCACTATCCTAACAGGGAGCAGAACTCGGTGGAAGGCAAACTGATTTGTATGCATAATAGAAACACTTACTCTTATTTGTTCTGGATTTCTGACCAGAAAATCGGTGGTTTGAACCCCAAGCAGCATCATACCAAAGATTCCAAAAGATGGCACTTGTTGTTACCCTGCCTGGTGATCGGCATTAAGGGGCTAAAACAAGGGCTGGTCAGCTCTAAGTCTTTGTACAGTATACTGTGTCTGAGTGGGGCATTCATGTCAAACCGCGGCATGGTATCTCAGCAGGCTATGACTACAAAACCAGTAAAAATTCACCACACCACACCACACCACACCACACCACACCACACCACACCACACCACACCACACCACACCACACCACACCACACCACACCACACCACACCACACCACACCACACCTAACAACAGCTCATGTGAACAATAAACTGCGTTTTCTCCATCGGCTACAGATTGTACTTGTTACCCTGCCTGACATTCAGCATTAAAAGGGATAAGGGGATGTCTCATCCAGAAGTCAGCAATATTCCACCTATATCACAGAGGCATGTAAACAGTGTTGGGGCAAACAAACCAGTGGCTGATAGCACGAGCAACAGTGTTCCAGGCCACTCTGATCCACACCTAACATGAGGACACACACCAGGGAACAAACTCTGACAGCTCTTACAACAAACATGGAGTACTGGGGACACATTCTGTGAGGGAACCCGTACAATAAAGCAGCCAATCATTGACCAGTCACTCACCTCCGTGCAGGACAAGGAAGAGTATTTTCACAGGGCAAGCACCACTTGCTTGCGGATGCGGCAGGTCCAGGGATGATGGGAGGGAGGCATCCACACTGTACATCATTCGGAACTGCTCAACCCGTCGACCAAAGTTGGTCTCTGAAACAAAACAGAACAGCCATTGACATGAGAGCTTGAGACATAATGGTTTCACACTGAAATCCTTGAAAGTTAAGTTTGTAAACTGGGAAGTGAAAAGCTTCAGTCACCATCCTACCTCGGCGCCATTCACAAGACGAACTGTTCTGTCTTGAGGAACAAACTATGAAACATCATTAGGCCACAGCAGAATGTCAAGTGTGGATGTGTCTATCTATAACTTATTGATTGTAACTACAAAGGGATGTGCCTATAGGGCCTTATGATGCCAAAGGCAAGAAGGCTTCACTCGAATGTATGCCAGGTCATTAAGGCGACACTGCTGAGGGGGCGTATTTCACTCTTTTGAACATTACAAGGGTAGAATGTGTGAGTATGGTTTTATGCCGCTTTTAGCAATATTCCAGCAATATCACGGCAGGGGACACCAGAAATAGGCTTCACACATTATACCCATGGGGGTATTCGAACCTGGGCCTTCTGTGTGACCAGGGAACGCTTTAACTGCTAGACTACCCCACCGCCTCTTGTCCCACTAGTACTCTGTCACTCAATGTTTGAAATAAGGTTCCTGTGGTCCTTCTGGTTTTCTCCTATAGTATTTGAATCTTGGGACCCCTAAATCTTTAACTTTAAACTTTAATGCATTGACAAAAGTGCACAGGATAAATACGCATACCTCTACTTCGAACAGTATTTCAGTAATATCACAGCATTTTCCCATTGGCATGAATTGAAGGCTAAATATGTCCACCATTCTGAAGATTGCTGGAGGGGTTGTTAGAGACTAAGGGAGGTAACTCTAATTATAACCTGATCTCAAGTTCTGAACCTCTTCTGATACACTGTCTCACAGTCTCTGAACCACATTATTTCCTTCTGCACCCTACAGGTCATACCTTCGGACAGTGCATCAGCATACTCGTCCCCACTGGACACCATCTCCATGGACGACGACCGCACCATCCCCCTGCCCCTGTGGCCTTCTTCACCTTCAGCCTCCATCCCCTCTGAAACACAAACAGGAGACATGAATGTGGTGCTGGCGTGGCCGACACTTCATGAGAATTCCTATGCTATACACAAGTCATACTCTCTGCAGTTATGCAACACAAAGATTAGAAAACATAAGATAGCGACACGTTAGATCACAAATAACAATGAAGAATGAAGCGTGGATTATTTCACAATAAAACAATGTTCTATCATGACGTCATTTCTGGAGATTCTAATGTGCTCGCAACTTTATGACGTCGTATATTGGAGGATGTTATTTTTGAGAGGCATGTGTCTTGTGAGTTGTTCCTCATAGATAGCCAGGGCAATGCAGATAAATACAGTGGCGGAACGTGGGAACGAGTGGGAATGTGGGAACGATTTGACAATTTGTATACTGGAGAAAAGTTACAGATATTCGACCTTAGGATTGTGAGTATATGCAGGAAATTCCAAAATTAACCCACCAATACTTGAATATTGCCCAAAGACAGTCTGCACTATATGACAGTGCTGAAGTGCTGTTCGACAAAGTAACAAGACTATTTGTAAGAAAGAGTTGATTTGTACCAGAGTTAGCCTGCCATATGAATGAGACACCATAACTGTATCCCCTACAGGCAGCTTGAGTATACACCCCAGGGAGTTGAGAATGACAGTTGCGTGCACACTGATCCACTAACCACGGGGTTAATGCTGCACTCTGAGCATGCTTTAGGGTGTGAGTTGGAGGAGCTTCATAATCTCGTCACCCACAAGACATAACATCTGTCAGGGTCATCTTAACCACGTTCCCACATACAAACCCTTTCTTTCCATCTCTGGGACTCTATACCAAATCTACTGATGCAACCTTACTAATGTCTGTGACAGAAGAACTTGTTCCTTTCTCTATTTTTGCCCATGTTGAACTGGCATTTCAAATCATCAGAAATGACCACCACACCACTGAAGGACATGCTCAAGGCACATCTCACTCAGGTCAGTATGCATTCAAGGCATTCTCTTCTCCCTGAGGAGTATACATTATTAGCTGAATGTTATCGAGGTGAAATGGGGTTTAAAGTCGTGTTCAAGATTATTGCACTTCTATAGCGATGTGTGTGGGTCTGCTTGAACTAGTCCGGACTGATGGTGGTTTTATAGTACTGGCCCACTGAGATACAACGCCACAGGTTTACATGGGTACCCCACACAGGCATAATTTACAGACTCCATGCTGACCAGTCCTGGTTTTATCCCCTTAATGCAGAGCGCTAGACAGGGTCTTTAGGAATGACTTCGGACAGCTCTATCCACTACACAAGAGATGCCGCCTGTTAGACACAATGACTTTAATCCATCGAGACCACAGCTCACTTCAGACTTATGGTAAATGTGACGTGACAATATTATGAAGAAAATCATGACACAAAGATTATTTATACACGTCTTGATAGTGATGACAAATTGGTAAACCTTACGAATAAATACAACTTCCAGTGAAGGTCTACAGCCTCAGTTGGTGACTTTAGCCGCTAGTCTGAGGCTCTGTCCAGTCTTGTAAGGTCATCAAGTAATAGTCCATATACAAACACTAAAAGCAACTGAAAACGACACTTAGAGACAAGTTCGGTGTGCAGACTTCAACCCTGGACGCTGCACAGACCCTACTTTCCAACACTGTGTCAGACAACAAGGGAAAACATACATTTCTGGTTGCACTCGACCTCCTGATGTCACAGAAATAGGACGGTACACTGTCACCCAGGAGCTGTCATATGAAGACCTACAAAGGTTGCTCAACAGTCAGCAGAAAATCAATTTATCTGAGAAAATCTGAGGCTCAGACATCACCACCTACTGGTCTGTTTATCACACAAGGCATTATGGACGCCTGGTGAGCATGTCCATCCTCCTCCAGAGTCACGCAGAGATCAGTAGCTCATTCTTCAGCATCACATCATGATGAAACTGAGTGAGTAAGTGAGTGAGTGAGTGAGTGAGTGAGTGAGTGAGTGAGTGAGTATGGTTTTATGCCTCTTTTAGCAATATTCCTGCAATATCACGGGTTATCAGAAATGGGTTGGGTTGGGTCACACATTGTACCCATGTCGGGAATCGAACCCGGGTCTTCGATGAAGAGAAAACACATACAAGTATATGGTCACTGTCCACATGCACAGTTTAAACAACCCAAGGGTTAGAAATTAGTCTCTATCGTCACTAGTCTGCAATAATGATCTGCAACAGAGTTGCCATATACTGTTGTAGTCCACAAGCAGTTGTCACTTATCCTTCCTGAAGTTTACTAAGAACTGGCCTTCAGCAACCCATACTTGTCGAGGGTCAGTTGGGTAGCCTAGTGGTTAAATCGTTCGCTCGTCAATCTGAAGACCTAGGTTCAATTCGCGACATGGGTACAATGTGTGAAGCCTATTTCTGGTGTACCCTGCCGTGATATTGCTGGAATATTGCTAAAAGCGGCGTAAAACCACACTCACGTACTCCCCATGCTTGTCGATAAATGGCAAATAACAGGATCGGGTGGTCAGGCTCGCTGACTTGTTTGAGTAGATGGATGCTCAAGATGTCAATCAATCAAAAGGCTTGTCTGCTTATTTAAAGACCGCCGTCATAAAGCTGGAATATTGCTGAGTGCGCATTAAACAACAAACAGAACTTGTCTCAGACAAGCAGATTTATGTAAATTTCAAATCTTGCTAAGCAAATTTCATTACACAACAAAGCTTGCATGCTGGAAGACCTCAAAACAGACCAAGCTTATTGCCAAGTAACTAACATAACCACAGGTTCCAGACAGTTAAAGATATCATGCTTCCATACTGTACATGAAAGGACTAGTAAACTCTTTCTCCTGTACTGGAATATTGCAAAACCATCCAGTAATTCCTCATAAAGGCCATGCAATCGATACGTAGACAACAATCTGATACCATTCTGTATTCCTAAGCACCAGAAAAACTCCACGGATGAAATCTCAGATCAGACATGATGTGGATGTAATCAGCATGCCATGTTTCCCTGATCGTATTATGGGACTCTGAGAGCATCACGGCTCTCCGTAATTAAAGTAACCCGGTAATAATCAGTGAGTGAGTGAGTGAGTGAGTGAGTGAGTGAGTGAGTGAGTGAGTGAGTGAGTGAGTGAGTGAGTGAGTGAGTGAGTGAGTGAGGTTTTACGCGGCTTTTAGCAATATTCCAGCAATATCACAGCAGGTGACACCAGAAATGGGCTTCACACATTGTACCCATGTTGGGAATCGAACCCGGGTCTTTGGGGTGACGAGTGAACGCTTTAACCACTAGGCTACCTGACCGCAATAATGAGAGCGATGATTAGGTTTCATACAAGTCACATACACAGAGATGAGTAAATATATTTCTTTTTTTTAAAACACACTGAAAGTTAGCCAGGAGTCTGGGGACCATATGATATTGGTCAATATTGTAATAGCATGTAACACAAAAGTTACCTTGATGTGACACAATCAGCCATGTCTGGAATTCCTACAGGAAGATAATCAGGAAAGTAATAATTCTCGGTTTACAAAAACCACCTATCTTTTAGAGTCAGTCAGCCATGTCACAGAGCCCGAGCACCCGATAATGAAGCACTTTTTTTATCAGAAATTCCTGAAGGCAATCAGGAAAGCTATAACTGTTTCACAAAAAGACATCTGTATATGAACATGAGTGAGTGAGTGAATGAGTTGGGGTTATCGCCGCTTTTAACAGTATTACAGTTATATCGTGGCATGTCGGCTTAATGTGGGAGAAAGCCCGAAGTGATGCAGGTCTCAGACGTTTACCACTTCGGTGAAACCCACGAGCACGGGTATGGTGCTGACAAACCTGGAAATATAATTGGGGCGAACCGGGATTCGAACCCACAATCATAGGTTTCTGGCGTGCCCAAGGGACGCAACTCTGCACAACGAATTGCGGCACCTAAGACGACTGGGCCACCTGTGCCCCCTATGAACATGAAGAGAGCATTGCAAATAAGTAATGTCAGATTGTATCCCTCTCTTCACTGTGGTTGGGTATCGGTGATCCAGTAGAAGTGTCCGTGCCCTTGCTGACACTTGCTGAAAAAGCAAATATTCTCAATTTCTGAGCAAAACAGGTCCCCTGGCCCTATATGTTCGATAGCCCTGACCTGGTCCATCAATACTCAAATCAATCTGAAACTACGCTGATGTACTGAATACCGGGTGACACATCCATCCCTTTACGAAAATAAAAGCAGGAGCTGAGTGACTGCCTCTCTCCTAGTTCCCACTGCTACAGAAACACACATCCTCTTCCTGGGATGACTACACTGCTGTCTCGACTGTGGAGATACACACTGACCATGGCTGCAGTGATAGACTAGGCTAGAGGGTACAACTGCTGTGGTAATGATCTTGCTACCGTATAAATCCTAAATGAATCATGCTGAGATAATTCCTGGAAAAATAATAATGAGAAAAACTAGAGTTTGCTGGTAAGCCTATTCAAGTGATGGACATGACTTTTAAAACAAACTGATTTCTTTTATTATAAAAAATACATTTGATAAATTCTAAAACACTGTGACTTGAGTACCCTCTAAGGTCAAGCCAAAGTACTATTTTGGCTTACACTGCATGATTTAATGCTGCATATACTTAGTATAAACTCTAAACAATACTTTACAAAACAGTATGAAAATTATGTAATATATTAATATACATATAAATCATTAAGTTGTTTAATGACAAACTCAACTATGTATGGAAGCCTATAAATAATCTCGTCTTCACAAGACAAACCTGTGATTGATATTATGAGGAATGTTCCACACCTTTGGGGTGACCCGTGACGATTCCGGGGTAGAATAGGTCTTCAGCAACCCATACTTGCCGTAAAAGGCGACTATGCTTGTCGTAAAAGGCGACTATGCTTGTCGTAAAAGGCGACTAACGGGATCGGGTGGTCAGGCTCGCTGGCTTGGTTGATACATGTCATCGATCCCGATTGCGTGGATCGA